TTAAAAAGGGCAAATTTGATTTAAAATTTTTAAAGCGGGTGAAGAATTTTGGGAAGATTGGCAGTAATCCCCCAAACCAAACATGTTATATTTTTTTTTTATATAGATTACTGTTTTTAGTGTATTATTGGGAAGCTTGAGTCCTAGTTGTATGTCAATGACCCGTGAGGGGTTTTTGACTCCCACACTCTTTTAGTTTTTGTAAAAAAATTTATCTCTTTTAAATTTGGTCCTTTTGTTTTGACTGGGGTGAGGGGCAGGTTGCCGTTGATAGTTTTTTAAATGTTTTAAAGTTTCTTTTTTTTTTGCACTTATTTTTTCTTTTTTTCGGGGGGTTTTTTTTTTGCCTATAAAAAAAAAGATAGTTTAATGACTCTAAAAAATATCTCTGTTAACTGGGGCAAAAAGGATAGTTTTAAATGTATGTAAAGTGATCCGGATATTTTGATTTTAAATCATGGAAAATTTGATAGTTTAGTAAAAAAAAACATTTTAAAAGCAGCGGAGATGTGGTTCTACAAAAGAATGAAGAAAAATCCCATCGACAGAAAACAAGAGTAATAAAGGTCTTTAAAAAAAAAAAAAAAAAAAAACCCAAATGACTCAAGAAGAGAAACGATTGCCCCAAAATTAAAAGAGACAATCTCCATTCTGTTGTCATGTCATGAGAAGGAGAAAACTGGAATACACCGTGACAGTGGGAAAGATGGAAGGGAAGAGATGCAGAGGGCGACAAAGATAGAAGATGCTGTCCAGTGTGACATCATGCCATGGAGTAACATCTGTATCAGCAATCGTCGTCTTCTTCATAATGTTCACCGGCTGTATGCTTCGGCGAGAATGTTCTATCTGTTTGACTCCTCGACCTTGGTCTTGTTCCTGAACTTGAGTTTTTAGGTGCACATCCGTTTTACAAATGAGTCTCATTTGTAAGTAGACTGTTGGTTCTTTGCCTCTCAGGCGCTAATTAACCACCTTTCACAACATGTTTATTAGAGCGCTGTGGCTCTATTCAGTTTTTTCCCGTCCACCTGAAACCATACAGTTGTGATAACATATCATAACAGACTGTATTTCTTCAAGCATAAGACGATCCCAAGTATATGACGCATCTTGACTTTAGGATCTGAAAAGAACAAAATGAAAAAAAAATATATGATTTCACAGAGTTTTCACGTTTTATTCACCACATAATTTTAAAAAATCCTCAGCACTGTGAAAACTCTCATCTATATGACAATGCATGACAAGGCAAATGTGGTCAAGGCCCTTTGGAAATAAGCAACGGAATCAGTAGAGAAACAAGATTATTATGGCCTGGAGAGAATGAGGAACCTAGGTGTAAGTAGAGGGCCTGGCTGACTCACTACACTTAGAGCAAAAGGCAAAAAAGGACATTTAACCATACTGTGACCTGTACCATCAGTATTGGAACTCTGTACTGGCTGCTGAAGATGAGGACGGAGCACGCATGGGAATGCCTCGAATGCTTTGATGTCAATTCTTGGTCAACTCAACTCAACTCAACTCAACTCAGCCATATGACAGCTGTTAAGCTTACCCTGCGCCTCATGAGGAGTCACTGTCTTCATATGTCGCTTTACGCTTATTTCCGTCAGTCGGCAGGGTCCGACCAACACGAAGATGGGCACAGGATATAAGTGACTCCTTGAGTATGAAAGTACATAAGGCGGGGGAGCTGGCGAAAGACCTAGTTTCTTTCAGGCAAACTGTGATGAGAGCGAGGTTCTGTAAAGGACCTGCTACATGATGATGATGGCATTTGAAATGCCACGAAAGAAATCCTAAAGTAACGAGCGAAAACAACAGTGAACGTGAAGACTAATGAAAAACTATAAAATCCGGAAAGAACTTTTAATTTTATATACCCCTCTCCCCCACCCCCTCAATTTTAGGTCGCCCCTGAAAATGAGGTCCTGTACGGGATATTTTCTAACAAATATTTGGTTAACGAAATTTACTTACTTTACTTTTACTTTTTCCTTCCACGTATGCCGCTAAGCGTTGTGGGGAGATGCAAGTTCCTGTCATAAGCAAGGCGGGCAGCATCTGATGTTCTGAAGCCATGCTTTTGGCAGGTTTCGGAGACCCCGTCAATCCACAGTTTCCTTGGTCTTCCTCTTGCCTTATATCCTGAGCTTCTTTGGTTGAAAATTTGTGATGTTATTTGGTAATTTTTCATCCTGGTTAGATGTCCAAACCATTTCATTCTTTTGATGTTCTATGTATGTAGTCTAAACATGGTGTAGTTTTGACAGTGTTTCTAATGTCTATGTTCTTTATCCTGTCTAGTCTGGTCTTATTCGCTGCTTTTCTTAGACATTTCATTTCACAGGCTTCTATTTTTCTTTCATGGGTCTTGTTGATTGTCCATGTCTGGCACTGGTAGCAGAGTGTTGGAATGAAGATGGTGTTTTATCAATTGTCTTTTGGTCTTCATGGTTATATCTGGATGTTTAAGCAGAGGTGATAGTTGGTATGTGACAGCATTTGCTTTCTGTATTCTTGTTTTCTATCTCTCTGTCCATTCTTCCATCCTCTGTAAATATACTGCCCAAGTATTGAACTCTTTGGTTTGCTTGATTTTGGCACTTCCAACATTTATATTCAGTGGCCTGTGTGTTCCTGCTGATCTTCATAACTTCTGTTTTTTCTGTACTGATTTCTCATATTATGTTGTAAACAGCTGTTTGTTGAGAGTAGTCAGATGTTCCTGTCAGATCATATTCATTTGATACAGTATGCTTTGATCATCAGCAAAAAAGTATTCGTTTATAGCATACACGTCTGGGTTTGCTTCTACAGTGATCTTATCCATGATGTTATGAAAAGTAATGGTGACAGTACACATCCTTGTCTGACACCAGTTGTGACTTTGAACCATTCAGAAAGACCACTAGATGTTCTTACTGCACTTTCACTTTTTTTCATAGAGGGCTCTGATGTTGTCTAATAATTGACCCTGCACTCCGTAATCGTCAAGAATTCTCCACAGCACATCTCTGTCCACACGGTCGAATGCCTTCTCTTGATCTACAAAGACCCACGTTCAGCTCTTTTATCGTATTCGAGTGTCTTTTCACCAGGACTTGTCTTAGTGCAAATATGGCATTCAGTGCAACCTCCGCCCTTTCCTGAAACCGAATTGTGCTTTACTCAGTAGAGGTTCAACCTTTGCTCTTATCCTACCTTCTAAGATCTTTGCATACATTTTCCCCACATGACTTAGTAAAGATATTCCTCTATAAGTTCCACATTCTCTCTTGTTTCCCTTTTTCTTCCAGATAGGTACTACAACTGATCTTTGCCAATCCACTGGTACCTTTCTCTCTGCCCATGCTCTATTGAAAATTCTCTCCAGCCAGGTGATCATAGTGTCCCCTCCAGCCTGGATGACTTCTGTTGTTATTCCGTCGATACCAGCTGCTTTGTGTCTTTTACTTGTTTTGATAGCTTTCTCTACCTCATCCCGCAGGATATGTGGTTCTATATGATCTGGAGCCCTTGAATGGAATTCTGCTGTTTCATGTACTCCCGACGGGTTCAAAAGTTCTTTAAAAGACGAAATTTACTACTACTATAAAAGACTATATGTTTCAGACCATATATTCTTGGAAATAATTGCGTCTTATACATGTGGAAATACAGTAACTCAGAGAGTTGTCTCACTCAATTATTATTACTATTATGTATGTCCCTTTTGTTTTACTGATATTATTATTGCAGGCAACTTGACCACAAGATCTTCACTGACTGGCATCTTCTTATGTCTGGTTAACTATCCCGAAGTCATCATAACAATTCAAGGGGAAATAGATAACGCCATTGGCAGCGAACGACCTAAACTGGAGCACAGAAGCGAAATGCCCTACACAGAAGCTACCATCCTGGAAGGTTTGCGTCTCATTTCGCCAGTACCCCTTAATGCTTTCAGGAGAGCATCTGAAGATATTGACTTCGAGGGGATGGTAATCCCCAAAAACGCTTTGGTTAGACACTTACAATGTTTTTTTTTTTTTTTTAAATTAAATAATTTAAACTGCTGTTCTGGAATACATTATTTATATGCATATTAATAACGCATTTATTCATCATCATCAATTTCCGCTTCTGCCGTAAACCGTTGAAGGGAGGGACAGTTTGAGATCATTCATGGGCAGCAATGACTAGTGTTCTTTTGTGTCGATGTAGAAGCTCTTTAATATCAACAATTCATCTTCTTCTACGGCAGAAAGGAAGCTCGTGATGGGAGAACAAGTCTACTTGATGTCAAAACCAAACTGAGAATTGGTTTCCGGAATGTAAGAGCCAAGTTTGAAACGATCAAAACTACCTAATATCCAGAACTATAAACTGCAAATTTTGGGAATCAATGAAAGCAGGTGGATAGGTTTTGGATTGTCCGCGGCAGGTACAGGAGAAACCAATATATACTCTGGAGAATGATTCGTAATAAACCTGCCAAAACAGTTCCCACTTGAACCCCAGAGGGAAACAGAAAGAAGGGGCGCCCCCCTCCCCCCCCCCCCAAAAAAAAAAAACATGGAGAAGTGAACCGAGTGCTGCATCTATGACATGGAAAACTACACTGAAGACTGCACAGGGTAGGGAGGCATGGACAGTCCTCTCTGAAGCCCAATGTACCACTAGGCCTAAAAATAACTGATGATCTTCTTCTAATGCGACCTCTTGCTTTGACTTCAGATCTGTTCATGAATAGTGCCCGCGCTGGTAGTTGTTCTGACAGCATTCTTACTACATGACCATGGTGCATAGTGTTGTTCCTACAGTCTGTTTGATAATGTTGTTTCTAACTTTATCTCGGATGGTTAAGTTGGGTGCTTTTCTCAAAAATCTCATTTCACATGTGTTAATGTTACCTAGGTTAGCCTCTATTAATGTCCATGTGTGGTCCTGGTAGCACAGTGTTGGTATGAATATGCGTTTTAAAGATGCATGTGTTAATTTAAAACATGTTGAAACAGTTTATTGTCTGATCTTTCTGATCTATCGCTTCTTTCATGTTTATATGTTCCATTTGACTACCTCCCTCTCCCAGTCGACAAAGTAAATATTTTATTTTAATGTTATTTAGAAATTATATCTACTGCGTTATTTCGAAACCCACTGTGGTTGTCATAATACCCAGTCTCTGTAAGGTTCTAAATTTATAATGTATGTTAGTTGTACAGTTATTTGTTGTAAAAATAATGCATGTTACGCCTAATGTCTAAGTGTGTGTGTGTGTGTGTGTGTGTGTGTGTGTGTGTGTGTGCATGGCATCACTGAAAACTTCATTATTCTTACAAATGAAACGCTTACATTTGAAACAATGTGATGTTTCGGTGATAATGTAATGAAAATAGTTGCGTTAATTATACGAGATTCTTGTCTGGAAAACAATACTATTATCATTTATGTTAGCACACACAAAAAATGAAGCTTGCGTGATTTAGTAGAAGTATAAGCTGGTATAAGTGTGTGTGTGTGTGTGTGTGTGTGTGTGTTGTGTGTTTGTATATATGTATGTATGTATTTATGTATGTATGTACGTACCTTCTTATGTATGTATTATATATGAGGTTCTTATGTGTGTTTGTAGAAATTGTTTGCATATATTATGAGAGCATATATTAAACAGCGCGTATTTTTGTATGTATGTAGAGGTGAATGTATGTGCACAAGTTTGTTTAAGTGTATGTATATATGTATGTGTACATGTATGAATGCAATATGTATGTAATTATTACGTGTGTAAGTATTATGTTTAAATGTAAAAGAGGGATGAGAGAGAGAGAGTGAGAATGAGAGTGAGTGGGTGAGTGAGTGAGTGAGTGAGTGAGTGATTCAGTGAGTGAGTGAGTGAGTGAGTGAGTGAGTGAGTGAGGGAGTGAGTGAGTGAGTGAGTGAGTGAGTGAGTGAGTGAGTGAGTGAGTGAGTGAGTTAGTGAGTGAGTGAGTGAGTGAGTGAGTGAGTGAGTGAGTGAGTGAGTGAGTGAGTGAGTGAGTGAGTGAGTGAGTGAGTGAGTGAGTGAGTGAGTGAGTGAGTGAGTGAGTGAGTGAGTTAGTAAGTGAGTTAGTAAGTGAGTTAGTAAGTGAGTGAGTGAGTGAATTAGTGAGTGAGTGAGTGAGTGAGTGAGTGAGTGAGTGAGTGAGTGAGTGAGTGAGTGAGTGAGTGAGTGAGTGAGTGAGTGAGTGAGTGAGTGAGTGAGTGAGTGAGTGAGTGAGTGAGTGAGTGAGTGAGTGAGTGAGTGAGTGAGTGAGTAAGATACATTTAGTATAAGTATTATAGCGTATGGCAAAAAAAAAAGAGAACGGAGATCCTGTGAGTGAGTCAAGATCAACCAAGAGAAAAGAGCATAATTCTTCTATAGGATACCATCCGGGCACGTAATTGTTAGGGAGTGTCTTAAATTATTTATTAAAGTTAATTAATAGAACCGTTGACAGGTAACGTCCCCATGCAACCATTGTTTCAGATCCTGATTAACAGCTGGCACTTTCTCCACGACGAGAACAAATGGGAAGATCCGTGGACATTTAACCCCAAACGTTTTCTTGACGATCAGGGGAACCTTTTACCAATTGACCACCCAAGAAGGAAAGAGTAAGGGAATATGTTGTATCAAAACGTTCTTTAGTTTAAATGACGATTTTCATACTTTCTTCAGTTGATCTGCGTTTGTACTTTAATTACCTCAACATGAGATTTATAATGACGTTTGTAGTACACACTTTTCATTATTACTAGTTTATCAAAGACACAAAACTTTCATTTACCCTTGTAGTTTTCAACCTTTCTCAAGTCGCCGGCGCCCCTTTTTTTTTCGTGAATATATGACAAAACACCACCCCTCCCCCCCCCTCCCCCCCCCCCCCCAACACCAGTCCACGCGGGTGTTTGATTTTATTTTTAAAAAAATGTGATTAAAAAGAGGAAGACACTAAAAGAAATCCCAAGCCCTGTTAATTTGGATGGAAACATCCACTTAAATGAAAGTGTTAAATAACATAAGCTAAGCAATAACCAGGAAACTAGAGCTTTAGTGTCCTAAAATTAATATGATTGTTGACACTGTTTTGTCTATCTGATATCTGCTAGTTCTGTTCTGATGTTGGGCAAAGCTCAACTGAGATCACTTTTCATATCAAGCCTGTAGCGTTGTTTTGTTAACAAATACAAATGAATTCAATTTCAAAATTGCCTAACCATATCGAAAATTGTTTGCGCCCCCCCCCCCCCCTTCTCCACCACCTTTTTTTCAGGTTTGAGCCACTTATTTACTCAGACGCTTTGACTACTTTTGTTTTTAATAGGCTTCATTTCTTTAGTAAATTGAAATTTTTATATCTGTTGAAGTTGACACACACACACACACACACATGTACATACGAGATTTCGTGTGGTTGTTGTGTATGTGTGTGCGGGTGTATGTGTGTGTGTGTGTGCATGTGGTGTGCAATTTCAGATGTTTAAGTCATTCTTCGTTAAGATCATGATAAATTCTCGTGTTTTTCGATACACCCTGGAACAGCATTACATTTCATCAAAGTTTAAGTCACAGTCGGAATGGAAAAGCTGCTTGTCCAGATGATATCACAGCTGAAGCTATTGCAGCTAATATACTCATGTAAACAAATTAACTGCATAAATTGTTTCTTATTCTGGAAAACTCAGTAAATTAAAAGAATAACAAATTCTTATTATATATATATATTTTTTTAACTTTTTCTTAAAAATGCAATTATTTCATTAAATAAATACTATAATCCTGCCTCTAAAATATTACAGTAGCTTCCCCTTAAAAAGAATTCAAGGGAGCGAACAAATCGTAGGTTCGTTTAATAAAATTCGTACTTACTGAAGGCTATTTGTGTAATATAAATAGTACATACCTCCTTGGACTAAAATTATGTTTGTGTTAACCGAGAGTTCGCTAAAAGCGAACTAATTCTGTGGCGTTTTACTGTAGTTAAAACAAGAAGAGTTGGAGGGCAAGAATGGCAGAGAGAGGCCGAGAAAAACGACCCTTGCAGTTTGACCTAATGGTATGGAGGATCAACTGTATCGGATTTGACTGTAAGTACACGAGACCGAAGGTTGTGGATAGACATGACTACCAACGCCATACAGAATAGGTTATGGAAGATCGTCTGTGTCAGAATTGACTGAAAGTAAATGAGACCTAAGCTTGAAGATAGACATGACTACCACCATTCCACGGCATAGACTTTAGGAAGAAAACAAGATTATGCGGGTCGCTAATTCAGAGCTCCAAATTAAGCAAATTTGTTTACCAAGCAACTTACCATATTCTTGTTAGTAACGTCTTACACGCGATACTGGGCATATTTGATATTATCAGTTCGGGCTAGCCTGGCGGATAACGGTTAATCACACGCTAACATGATTTCATGCCCTAGAGTAAAGCTTGGAGAAGCTCGACTAAGGCCAAGACATGTAATATAACTAACTATTCTTGAGAACAATCAGTTGAAATTCCTTAAAGTGGTTGCTGCATCGGTAGAATGAGCACTCACAAGAATGTCCATTGCACAGTAGCTTAAACTGTGCTAACTTCACTATCGGAATTTTAACTCATTGATGGTTGCTGAAGATGGGGACGGAGCGCATATGGAGGTGTCCCGAATGCTGTGATGTCGATTTTTATTTCAACATTCAACTTTACTTGAATATGTTCGTCTTATCTATTTGCTACTAGGTCCGCTCTGTTACAATTGTTATTTTAACTCCTTTTGCTTAATATGATTATTAATATAATTTCTCAAGATTAATCATGTATACATATACTGATTTCACGTAGCAAAAGATTTTGGTAGACATGGTTACAGTAAAAGCTTAAGACAGGAAGAGGTACATTGCTAATAATCATCATTTCACTTTTTACTGCATTTTTGGGGTACCGTAGACGAGGGAGGTCGAGCGCCTGAGGTTTAGGGCCGCCTGGCTCGTGCTGGGACCACGTACTGTCCAGGTAAGAATATTTATTTGAACCTCCCGACAGAAAAACGCCCTCACCTTCGTGGAAAAGGGGGGTGGGGGCGGTAGTATAAACCTAGGTCTTCTGCGTGAGAGCTTGTCGTAGTAATCGCTCGGCTAGTCGCTCTAAGTTACAACTGCAAGGATAAGTGTTCATCAAATTGTTACACGATCATTCTCACTAAAATATTTTTGTTTGCATCTTACCCCGGTCCCCTTTTAAGGCCT